TGCTGCACAAGACCTCTTTAAAATACTGAACAGCAAAGATTTCTGTTTAAGGACTAAGGTGTGCCTGACCCAAGCCATGGTATTTTCAGTAACCTCCTCTGCATGTGAAAGTTGGACAGTGAATAAGGAAGACTGTGGAAGAATTGATGCATTTGACTTATGGTGTTAGAGGAGAATATTGAAAGTACCACGGACTGCCAGAAGAATAAACCAGTCTGAGTTGGAAGAAGTACAGCTTGAATGCTCTCTGGAAGCCAGGATGGCCAGACTTCATCTCTCATACTTCGGACATGTTATCAGGAGTGATCAGTCCCTGAAGAAGGATATCATGTTTGGTAAAGTGTAGGGTTGGAGAAAAAGAGTAAGAACCCCAGTGAGATGGTTTCGCAGAGTGACTGCAGCAATGGGCTCAGGCGTAGCAATTGTTGTAAGGTTGGCACAGGACATGGCAGTGTTTTATTCTGTTGTGCATAGGCATCGGGTTGCTATGAAAGTCGGTACTACTCAGTGGCACCTAACAACAACATTGTGATAGCTGGAATTGCGGTTGCATTGGCAGATTTAGACCAAATGATTTCACTGGCTGGACGTTCCCAACTCCTGGTCTAAAAGAAAAACATTACCTCTCCATCTGGGACCTAAGGTTAGATCTTGTAAGTATGGAGTTACCCAGTTAATTATATGCCTCTAGTAGAACTTTTCAGGTAAAGCACTAGGGGAAGGGGTGCTTCATCTAGAAGAGTACATTCTTTCAGTAGAGTTTGATTATAAGGGTCATGAAGATGGGGGTGAGGTGGGGAGAGACTGCTCTCTGCTGCACCTGTTTAGGGTAAGAAAAATGTGCCACTCTAATGCTTATTGTTGTTGTTAGTGCTGTTGAGTTAATTCCGACTCATAGCAATCCTGTATAGGGTTTCCGAGAACAGCTGGTGAATGTGAACCACCAACCTTGTGATTAGGAGTCCAGTTTGTATCCTGTTAGTTCCATACCAGGATTCCATTTTTATGCTAATGTCCTATAATTCTATGAGTTGTTTTAAAGATTTCATTGATATTTTGACTGAAGCTTTCTTGCGTTTGAAAACATTGGTGATAATTAAATCTTTATATGTAATAATGGTGGTTCTTTCCATTTTCTTTGTTTAGTCCGAGGGTCAGAAGGGCTCTACATGGTCAATGGACCACCACATTTTACAGAAAGCACAGTTCTTCAAAGGTAGGTTTTTTTTTGTTGAGTAATGCTATAAGGGAACTAACTATAAATCACATTCTGAATTATTGTTTTGTTGTTATATTCTGGGAAGGGGAAAAAAGGAACAGATACACTAGTTTCTTGGAGCATACTGTATATTTATTACCAAATCAGAAAGAATGCATAGTCTCAAGGAAAATGGTCTTGAAAATGTTACTGTAAATCTGCTTAAAAGAAAGGTAGCGTAAAGAGAAAGCTTAGACACTAATTTAATTGACTTCAACGCTGTATCTTAGAAGAATTTTACCTTTGGAAACGAGAAAAACTTCCAAATGCAAAAGTCAAGGCACTGCTAGTAATCTTTGTGAAATCAAGGAATGAAATAGCAAAAGAAAGGGAATATGAATGTGGGTAAGGGTATGCCATTTAAGCGTAGTGGTTACGAATCGGGCTGCGAACCTTAAGGTCAGCGGTTCGAAACTACCAACCGCTCCGCGGGAGAAAGATGAGGCTTTCTACTCCCATAAGGATTTACACTCTCGGAAACGCTGTACAGGGTCGCTATGGGTCGGAACCGACTCGACGGCACTTAACAACAACAACAACAACAGATAGCATCAAACTACATATATGGACAATACTAGCTACATACATGTGTGTGATCCCATAAGGTTTTGTATTTTATAAAGGGGAAAGCCTCTCTCCTTTTATTTATTATTCCCCCCTACTGGTTTTGCAAAGGAGCTCTGGTAGCGTAGTGGTTACGAATCGGGCTGCGAACCACAAGGTCGGCAGTTCGAAACTACCAGCTGTTCCGCAGGAGAAAGATGAGGCTTTCTGCTCCCGTAAAGATTTACAGCCTCAGAAACCCTGTACAGGGTCGCTATG